TGAAACCAGTTTCATACACCACATGACCGAGGAGTGAGAACCATCAAGCCTTTTCTTTCCACTGATTGGCTCCGTCAGTGACTCACTGTGAGGGTGTCAGTCTGATGAAATGAGACATGAGTGTCTCCCTGACTGGTCCTCTAGGTTGTTGTAAATGTCTAGTCGTTGAGCGGCTGATTGGTTGAACATCGGTTCAAAGCTATGACCTCAGCGACACCTAACCTCTTCTCTTTGTTGGATCTATGAAACGTAAAACCATTTAGAAGAACGCCCAGGTGGGACTGACGGACCCAGGACTATGACCTCATGTCTGTGGTGTCATATAACACACAGATCAATGAGTGCCGGGATGTAGACCGTCTAAGACCACTGAGACATGCAAGCACACACAGTCACATGATCTGAAGTCACCGACGGATCAGCAGTTCATGTATGAGATCATTTCAAATCACTGGTTTCTCTAAACTTTGGTGGAGGAGACTATGTATCTTTGATAAACCAGAGAAATATAAAAATGATTTCGACCTGATATCTGATGTCACACATCGTAACAAGTGCGAAGGGGACTCGCAAAGTACAGCAAGAAAACAAAGCTTAACATCTGGGAGAGGACCAATCGGAGGAGACATGTTGTTGTGTTGGGGCTGGAACTGATTCTCTTATTTACACACAGTTTCTGTCTCCACCTCCTCCTCCTCCTCCTCCTCACTCTTCTGCTCCGACTCCTGCCTCCTCGATAAATTATGGAGAGAGACTATATTTGGAGCAGTGAAGAGAGGAGGGCTGTGTGTGTGTGTGTGTAGATGCTTTGTTCACCAGCAAGATATTAATGTTTTGTACACAGTAAATATCCGAAGATTTTCTAACAGTTTTTCTGTTTGTTTCCTCAATGACAATGTTTTTTATCTCCACTGCAGCAGTCACTGAACACCGGAGCTAGCAAACTAGCTAGTTAGCCTCTACTTCATTAGGGTTTTTTCTGTGTTTTGTGATTTGTCTTTCTTCGTAAATCAGTCTTATCAACGGTCCCTAGATTTACTCAGAGCAGCTGGACTCGAACCTGAAGCCTTCCGGACCTAAGCCCGCTTCCTTAACCACTAAGCCACCACTACAACATAAATGTAATTTCTCCTCAGGAAAGAAACGTCCAGTCCAGGATTATTCTGCTGTCAACAAACTCAAGACTAACCCTACTCTTCCTATTTGGCCAGACAACGTCACATGATCATAACCACCAGTGCTGCGTTTCTAAAAGAGCACAGCACTTTTCTGTGGAACTGTTCATCCCTCTGTGCCTGCACTAATGCTGCCGACACCTGAACGACATCCTGTACCAACCCCGACAGACTAGGAACCTCTGGTTTATATTTAGGTCAGAAATGACATTGATTTCACATTTTTGACACCAGTGCAGTCGCCCCCTGGTGGTTTCACTTTATTAAAGAAATGCCACATCCATTCCCTTACACCCCGTAGTGCCCTTGTTTTAGTCTCTCGCTTTCTTTCTCTCTCTCTCTCTCTCTCTCTCTCACACACACACACACACTTCACAGAACCACACCATCTACTGAGATCATTTACTACTGAATCCAAAGGATGATGGTGAGACTTAGGAGCAGCTGCTCGTTTCCTTATTCATGTGTTAAACCTGTGTGTGTATATATGTGTATGTGTGTGTGCGCGCGCGCGCGCGCGCGCGTCTCCTGCCTCTGACAACAAAAGAGCGGAGCTTCAGTGAAGCAGACGTAGCAGTGCCTTTCATTTATTCATCCGTCTCTCTCTGAATCTTTTATACAACTCCTCTTTTCTCCTTCACTCACAGAAGAACAGAGGAAGAAAGAAAGAAGGAAGGAAATGAGAGGAAGAGGAAGAAAACAAAGACTATGGAAGAAACAGAGATGATGATGAAGCATGAACGTCCAACAGAGGAGGACATAAACACAAACACACCACTGCCTCTGTTCTCTTTTGATGTTTGTGTGTGTGTGTGTGTGTGCGTGCGCTTCGCCGTGTTTACCTCCACGATGAACGTCTTCTCCTCCCCACAAACAGACACCAGCCACAACACAATGGGAAAATAGCAGGTTTTCCAGCACCGTCCAGGGAGTCCTGTCCTCCCTCTCCTCTCTGCTCCTCCATCACCCCCACCTCGTCCCGTAGCCATGGCTCTGTCCCCGGTCTCTCCCCCCCCCCCTGGATCTCTTCTCATCTACTGATTTCCAGACTGGAGCTTGTTTACAGTAGATGTTGTGTGAGCCCCTGCTTCATCCCCGTGCCTCTCCTCTCTCCTCCTTTCTCTCCCTCTCCCTCTCTCTGTGACTGGTTTCTCCTTTACTCTATTGGTTTTCCTCCTCCACGAGTTTCTAATTGCGCAGACGCAGTGGGGAGCAGAGGAGCAGCTGTGGAAAACCTGAAAGAGAGAGGGATGTTGTTGCAGTAGCAGCGTGTGAACACTGGGGGCTCCTTCTGTGTGTGATTCTCAAGGAACAAAGGAATGTGATGTTTATGTCAAACAAAGACTAAAGGTTTTAGTCATAAAAAACAGTAGTAGTACTAAAAAATACCACACACATCATCAGAAACTAGTCAGGTATCTGTTCAGAGAAAAAGGTAAACAAAAAAAATTTAAAAACAACCTTAAACAAACAGTCACAGCAAATACTCACCTCACATTCAGTAAAAATATTCTGACAGTCAATGGTTTACAGCTGCTATATATGGTACTTTGTATGTTTTATGGTAATAGAAGAAATCCAATACCGTATCTCTGATGAGTCGACCATGGCGGTTCACGGCTACTTCTGGCCTTCTCGGCGTTCACTGTAAATATAATTATACTTAATAACTTTTTTTTAATTAAAATGCAACTTATTTCTCAGGTCCTTTACCATTTTAGACACAATTAATGCAACTTATTTCTCAGGTCCTTTACAAAACGTTTTAGACAATAAAACTGGGATATCAGAGTATTTTTGGTCAACTTCTCGAAACCGGAAATGATCGAAATGTAAAACCTGGACGAATATACCATTTAGCGATGATGCTAAATTGCGGTGCTGTTAACACACTCTTTAAATATTTCCACATACAGGTGAATTCACAACCTGACTCCAGTTTGAATCGGACATAACATTCCATCATATTCCGTTTGTTCATTGCTTAGTTATTTCGTCCGTTTTTTACGTTTCTGCAAGTTTCTTTTTGTTTTATCAATGTTTGTTCATGGCGTACGTGAGGCGCCCTTTCACAATAAACTTCCGCTTGCACCTGAATCGCAAATATTAAAACATTAATTTTAAGATATTTTACCTCATTTTTATTTTTTTAATGTATCCTTTAACTGCTGCTTTGGACATAACGAATTTTTAAAATGTTGCTTGTTAAATTGTTATAAACATTTCTCTCACCACGTCCAGCAAAAGGTGACCCTAAGACCACTGAACTGAGGCCGGACGGTTGGTGGACGATGCTTTTATTTTGTACCAACAACTGTGAACAGCTGAACTCCGGATTTAGGAGTCTCCTGAATGTTTCCGACTTCGCCACCGTCAGTAGTAAAATTATTTCAAAATGTTATTTTGATTTATTTATTATTTTGAAAACTAAATGAGTTTAAGGGTTGGATTTCTAAACATCTGGTAACACAGTGTGGTTGTTGGACTTACTACCACACATGATCTTTTCACTGACTCGGTCTAAAATGTAATTCATTTCACACCATGGTGTGGAGTCAGAGAAGAAAATGTTTTCAGAGGAGAAAAAAAAAAGCCAGTCTGTAGTGTAATTACCTTTAACTTTAGAGTTTTGTCGCTGCTCAGGCAGGAAACTAATATAATGACAGAGCTGTCGACAGCAGCCAGGGTCTGAGGCCTGTAATCTACACACAACACTTCAGGAAGTGCAGCAAGGAGCTAGGAGTCAGAGCGTTCTCTTCCCTGAGAGGCAATCATCTCCAACAGGGTGAACATCATGAATGGAGGAGCTGTGATTCATGAGAAAATGCAGAGAATGCTGAATTCATGTCGGAGGAGCTGTGATTCATGAGAAAATGCAGAAAATGCTGAATTCATGTCGGAGATGTGAAAATACTTACAGAACGGAAGGTGAGAACATGTCACCTGTATGAGTGATGTAGACGAGGTGTGAAAATAACAGGTGGAGAAATACCATGCAGAAGCACAAAAGATTTTAGAAACATTTAAAAACAACAGCTTCATTTCAAGACTTCTGACTGTTTGGAACATTAATTTACTGTGTCTGGAATATCTGTTAATTCTGACTCTGTCTGAAGCATTGGTTAATCCTGACTTTGTCTAGAGCATCAGTTAATCCTGACTTTGTCTAGAGCATCAGTTAATCCTGACTTTGTCTGGAGCATCAGTTGATTCTGACTTTGTCTAGAGCATCAGTTAATCCTGACTTTGTCTAGAGCATCAGTTAATCCTGACTCTGTCTAGATCATCAGTTAATCCTGACTCTGTTTGGAACATCAGTTAATCCAGACTTTGTCTAGAGCATCAATTAATTTTGACTCTGTTTGTAGCATCAGTTAATCCTGACTTAGTCTGGAGCATCCGTTTATTCTGATTCTGTCTGGAGTGTCTGTTAATCCTGACTTTGTCTGTAGCATCAGTTAATCCGGACTCTGTCTGGAGCATCAGTTGATCCGGACTTTGTCTGGAGCATCATTTAAGTCTGACTCTGGCTAGAGCGTCTGTTAATCCCGAGTCTGTCTGGAGCGTCTAGTAATGTTGACTCTGTCTGGAGCATCAATTAATCCTGATTTTGTCTGGAGCATCTGTTAATCCTAAATCTATCTGGAGTATAAGACGATCCTGATCCTGATTCTGTGTAGAGGTAGAACATCAATTGATCCAGACACTGGCTGAAGGTGAAGAAGGTCGGCACAACGTGATCAAATGTATCCAAAACCACCCACTTTCCACCTCGTCTCTGTCATCTTCGTCCCGACTCCACTCCATTATTTACCCAGAATTCCTCAGTGATTTGCTCACTGGTTTGCCTCCTGACTGTCAGAAAACCTTGTTGTCACCTCCTCCTTCCTCTTGTTCAGCGATGACAGCTCTTCATTTTCAGGTCGTGACCCACTTTATAGCATCATCTCTGGATCCTTCCGTCCACAGACATCGACTGACACCGACTGACATCTGTGGATGTCACGTCACATGACTGCCCTGTGAACGCTCTTTAATCAAACGGGTTAAAAATGTCTCTGTTTCTTCTAAGATTTAGTTTTCAGTTGACAGCTCAGATCCTTATCAGTTTGTTTTCTATCAGGTGATCCATCATTTATCGGCCAATCAGAACAAACCTCAGTTCAGCTCAAAGTCAGACTCACAGAAGCTGTGACACCTGTCACCTATTGTGTAGGCCCTGATAAAGAAGATAAAGACATTCCCTAAAAAAATCCTGTCCACCTGCCCTAACCCACACACCTCTGCAGTAAATGCACATTCTGTGTGCTCCCGGCATTGATCAGTTTAAATAACGACTGATAGAATTTGAAAACGTTTTATTTTCACAGACTCTTTAAAAAGGCCATTCATGAACTGTAGCTCACCAAAAAAACTGATGTTTCCAGAAGATTTTATTATGCTGTACGTAAACGTTCCTCCTAGAAACACCGTAAGAGCTACGGTGGATAATATACAAAAATTATGAAAAAATTACTGCAGAATTAATTAACCAAATACATCAGAATGTGTGCAAAAAAATAAAGAAAACTAAAACAACAGTTATGGCTAAATAGCACTGTGACTTTGTGATCGGGTGACTATCAAAGAAAACGTTTTTGGGAAGCACTTCAAAATTAAGCATCAAGAAATTATCTTCTGCTTAACAAACACAATGGTCATTTGCATAAAAGATTATTGCAACAGCAAATATTTTCACTTCATGCACACAACTTGCATGCAAGTGACTCTTTAGCGCCCTCTAGGGGAGGCTCGCTGTTGTTATACTTGTATCAAGTGTGTTTTTCTTTTTTGTAGATATCCAGGGGTTGCCTTGGGTATGGGAGGGATATGTTGGTTAAAACTTTTGTGTTATAATTGTATTGTATTTTTTATATATATATTTTTTCCGAAAAAGCACAATAAAAACATTTGTCTAGAGCATCAGTTAATCCTGACTTTGTCTGGAGCATCAGTTGATTCTGACTTTGTCTAGAGCATCAGTTAATCCTGACTCTGTCTAGATCATCAGTTAATCCTGACTCTGTTTGGAACATCAGTTAATCCAGACTTTGTCTAGAGCATCAATTAATTTTGACTCTGTTTGTAGCATCAGTTAATCCTGACTTAGTCTGGAGCATCCGTTTATTCTGATTCTGTCTGGAGTGTCTGTTAATCCTGACTTTGTCTGTAGCATCAGTTAATCCGGACTCTGTCTGGAGCATCAGTTGATCCGGACTTTGTCTGGAGCATCATTTAAGTCTGACTCTGGCTAGAGCGTCTGTTAATCCCGAGTCTGTCTGGAGCGTCTAGTAATGTTGACTCTGTCTGGAGCATCAATTAATCCTGATTTTGTCTGGAGGATCCGTTAATCCTGAGTCTGTCTGGAGCATCTGTTAGTCCTGACTCTGTCTGGAGCATCTGTTAATCCTAAGTCTATCTGGAGTTTAAGATTATCCTGATCCTGATTCTGTGTAGAACATCAATTGATCCAGACACTGGCTGAAGGTGAAGAAGGTCGGCACAACGTGATCAAATGTATCCAAAACCACCCACTTTCCACCTCGTCTCTGTCATCTTCGTCCCGACTCCACTCCATTATTTACCCAGAATTCCTCAGTGATTTGCTCACTGGTTTGCCTCCTGACTGTCAGAAAACCTTGTTGTCACCTCCTCCTTCCTCTTGTTCAGCGATGACAGCTCTTCATTTTCAGGTCGTGACCCACTTTATAGCATCATCTCTGGATCCTTCCGTCCACAGACATCGACTGACACCGACTGACATCTGTGGATGTCACGTCACATGACTGCCCTGTGAACGCTCTTTAATCAAACGGGTTAAAAATGTCTCTGTTTCTTCTAAGATTTAGTTTTCAGTTGACAGCTCAGATCCTTATCAGTTTGTTTTCTATCAGGTGATCCATCATTTATCGGCCAATCAGAACAAACCTCAGTTCAGCTCAAAGTCAGACTCACAGAAGCTGTGACACCTGTCACCTATTGTGTAGGCCCTGATAAAGAAGATAAAGACATTCGAATTTGAAAACGTTTTATTTTCAGACTCTTTAAAAAGGCCATTCATGAACTGTAGCTCACCAAAAAAACTGATGTTTCCAGAAGATTTTATTATGCTGTACGTAAACGTTCCTCCTAGAAACACCGTAAGAGCTACGGTGGATAATATACAAAAATTATAAAAAAATTACTGCAGAATTAATTAACCAAATACATCAGAATGTGTGCAAAAAAATAAAGAAAACTAAAACAACAGTTATGGCTAAATAGCACTGTGACTTTGTGATCGGGTGACTATCAAAGAAAACGTTTTTGGGAAGCACTTCAAAATTAAGCATCAAGAAATTATCTTCTGCTTAACAAACACAATGGTCATTTGCATAAAAGATTATTGCAACAGCAAATATTTTCACTTCATGCACACAACTTGCATGCAAGTGACTCTTTAGCGCCCTCTAGGGGAGGCTCGCTGTTGTTATACTTGTATCAAGTGTGTTTTTCTTTTTTGTAGATATCCAGGGGTTGCCTTGGGTATGGGAGGGATATGTTGGTTAAAACTTTTGTGTTATAATTGTATTGTATTTTTTATATATATATTTTTTCCGAAAAAGCACAATAAAAACAATTGGTCATAAAAAAATTATTAATATTACATATGGTGACAACAGTGAAATCACTGCAGTGTGAAAAAATACAAGGAATAAAGTTTAGATTTTCAGATTGAAATGATCTGTGATCAGTGAAGGTGTGAAGATAGTCTGCAGCAACAGCGCAACCACGTGGTGGGTCTGTACAAGTTCAGGCTGCTGGAACATTTTTTGATAAACTGTTATTTTATGTTTTTGTTCTACTGAAGTTCAGCTTCTTAAAGGCTATGTTCTGTTTTATCATCAGGCCACTTTTATAAAGTGTAAAGTTAACAAAATATTCTCAGACTCTTTTCTTCATTTATGTTCTACATTATTAGCACTTTAGTACAGACTCTTTTCTTCATTTATGTTCTACATAAATTACACTTTACAATTGTGTTCATGTTTAAGGGAGGATGATGTCGTAGCTGTCTCCTCTCTCAGAGACCTGAGCTTCTCCAGCAGGAAGAACAAGTCCTGATCTGTCCTGCCACTGGACCAGAGGTTTGGGGAATGCTCCTTTAACAGAACACTGAAGTCTGAATCAGTCTTTTGTTCCTTCCAGTAAAATGACAGATCGTTCTGGAGCTGCTCCTGTCAACTGTAACTAGAACAAGAACAATGAAGAGATAAAACAAAGGCCAGAATGGAGTAGGACGTGTGTTATCAACCTTTAGATACCAGTTCCAATGCTGATCGTTCTTCTGAACTTGTTTTCCGTTTAGGATCATTGGAGTTATTTTTCCCTGATAGATCAGAGGTACAGAACAAAACAGAACATCAACAGATTACTACTGAGAACCTGAACCAGACACATAAAGATGAGATAATGTCGATTTTTACTGCAATTTAACCAGAGTTCAACTCACCACAACATTTTTTCTTGCAACACAGAGTCAAAATGGCTCCAAAAATGGCTCCAACAATGGCTCCAACAATGACTCCAACAATGGTTCCAGGAGGCCATTCTGAAAAAAAAAAAGACAGTTGAAGTATGGATAATCATCATCATCATCATCATCATGAAGATGTACAGTCATGTGGTAAAATTTTAGGCAGTTGTGTACATTTACTCTGTTCTTCTGTTTTTCACTCTTTTTTCCCCTAAAATGTTTAGAACCAGTTGGTTTTTCTCTGATTTTCTCCATGGACTTTGGTCTGAGCTAATGTTATAAACTTTGACTCTTGTCAGAGTCAAGTCTTTGTGGAGGATCTTTAAAGGTCAAAGGTCAGAGAAGTGCAGCCTCAGCTTCAACATAAAAACAGTTCCATATACAGTTCTGTTTGTTGGAATTGGAACCTGTGTTGAATAAAGGATGACAATAACAGGCTGATATTGATCACTGACCAGTATTGATCAACTTTCCAATCACATCAGAGTCATGTCTCATCAAACTTTAACTTTAATTAGATCTCATTCATCAAAAGGGCACAAATTATGTCCAAATGCCTTTGAAGTTCTATCATCACAGCTGTCCCTCACCTGATCAACCCTCTGTGGAGAACAGGAGTTTGACTTTCATGACCTTTACATTTGTTTGGACATCATCTCATGTTCTCCTGGTTTGTCACCTTGTCTTACAGGAAACTGATCTGTGGTTCAGAAAAGGTCAGTGAACTTTGACCTAGACTTAGGTTAAAGCTCCTAGATGAAAACTCCACTTTAAAGATTTCTTTATTCTCCATCAGACTCTTGTCTGTCACTGAGTCACTGACTGTTAATGTGGTTCATACTTTTATTCACAAATGTTGGTCTGAAGTTAAATTCCAGTCTTGGGACTTAAACCTATGATAAATCCATCCATAAATACTCTACATCTGTGACTGGTGATTTCCTCACACTGGTCTTAGACCTGATTTGTCTTCTGCAGCTCTGAGTCCCTGACTCCTGATGATCGTCTGGTCCACTGATCCAGTCTGGGGTCTGGTCTGTGTCTTAGACCACAAAGGT